GCCCCGTGGTCCCAACTACTTGAGAGGCTGAGGCAGGAGGCTTCCTTGAGCCTAGGAGTTCAAGGTTACAGAGAGCTACGATCACACCACTGCACTCCAGGCTGGGCAGTGAGACTCTGTCTCAAAACAATAAAACTAACCTGGATGATGTATGTGAAAGCAATATTTCCTACTCTAGCACGCTGACTTCATCAGAGCTTACAGATGCGTTTTCGTACATTCCTCCCCAAGGGATCGCTTCTTTTTTTTTTTTTTTTTTTTTTTTTTGAGACGGAGTTTCGCTCTCGTTACCCAGGCTGGAGTGCAATGGCGCGATCTCGGCTCACCGCAACCTCCGCCTCCTGGGTTCAGGCAATTCTCCTGCCTCGGCCTCCTGAGTAGCTGGGATTACAGGCACGCACCACCACGCCCAGCTGATGTTTTGTATGTTTAGTAGAGACGGGGTTTCACCATGTTGGCCAGGATGGTCTCGATCTCTCGACCTCGTGATCCACCCGCCTCGGCCTCCCAAAGTGCTGGGATTACAGGCTTGAGCCACCGCGCCCAGCCTTCATGGGGATCAATTCTTGTGAGAGGCAAGGATGGTCGCAGTCAGTGAAAATCCTGACTGGAGAGAGATCCAAGATGGCCGAATAGGAACAGCTCTGGGGTGCAGTTCCCAGCAGAGGGTGAGTGATCACCGCATTTCCAAACAAGTGTTTACTGCCCGCAGACCTCCTGACCTCAAGTGATGCACCTGCCTCAGCCTCCCAAAGTGCTAGGATTACAGGCATGAGCCACCACGACTGGCCATGTGTTTCCATTTTAATATGCATAACTCATATTTATGTGTATATTACACACACACACAAAAAAAAAAAAAACACACACACACACACTCCAGTAACAATGGGTACATCTAGTGCCTAGAGTAGGGCTACTGAATATTCTCTGCTGTAAGGAAGTCTGGCCAGATGTGGTGGCTCACACGTGTAATCCCACCACTTCGGGAGGCTGAGGTGGACAGATTGCATGAGCCCAGGAATTTGAGACCAACCTGGGCAACATGGCAAGACCCCATCTTTACAAAAAAAAAATATATAAAAATTAGCCAGGTGTGGTGGTGCATGCTTGGGAGTTCCAGCCACTAGGAAGGGTGAGGTAGGAGGAACACTTGAGCCCTCTTGAGCCTGTGGGGTTGAGGCTGCAATTAGCTGTGATAGCGCCACTGCACTCCAGCCTAGGAAGTGGAGCAAGACCTTGTCTCAGGGCCGGGCACGGTGGCTCATGCCTGCAATCCCAGCACTTTGGGAGGCCGAGGCAGGTGGATCACTTGAGGTCAGGAGTTCGAGATCAGCCTGGCCAACAGGGAGAAACCCCGCCTCTAAACATAAATAAATAAAAATAAATAAGACCCTGTCTCAAAAACAGAAAAGAAAAACGTAAGAAAGTTCTCAAAAAATTATAGAACTTTATCAGCAGATCTGGAATCGTGTGAGTAACACAATAAATAGTAATGAGTTACAGCCCACTGAATACAACCTGAATCCCTGAGTCATATGGATAAAAGGAAACAAGGAAGGAGGGAGGGAGGGAATTGTTCCTCCATGCAGCAGAATGGCACCTAACAAATATGGAAGAAATGATAGAATCGGAAAATTACCATTCTGGCCAGACACAGTGGCTCCTGCCTATAATCCCAGTGCTTTGGGAGGCAGAGGTGAGTGGACTGCTTGAGCCCAGGAGTTTGAGACAATATTGGGCAACATAGCGATACTTCGTGCCAGAAAGAAAATTTTCCATCGTCAGGCTGGAGTGCAATGGCGTAATCTCAGCTCACTGCAACTTCCACCTCCCAGGTTCAAGCAATTCTCTTGCCTCAGCTTCCCAAGCAGCTGGGACTACAGGCGTGCGCCACCACGCCCAGCTAATTTTTTGTAGTAGAGACGGGGTTTCACCATATTGGCCAGGCTGGTCTTGAACTCCTGACCTCGTGATCCACCTGCCTCAGCCTCTTAAAGGGCTGGGATTATAGGTGTGAGCCACCGCCCCCTGCCAAAAAAATTTTTTTTTTTTTTTGAGACAGAGTTTCGCTCTTGTTGCCCAGGCTGGAGTGCAAAGTTGTCATCTCTGCTTACTGCAACCTCTGCCTCCCGGGTTCAAGCGATTGTACTGCCTCAGCCTCCAGAGTACATGAGACTACAGGCATGTACCACCATGCCCGGCTAATTTTGTATTTTTAATAGAGACAGGGTTTCTCCATGTCGATCAGGCTGGTCTTGAACTGCCGACCTCAGCTGATCCACCCACCTCGGCATCCCAAAGTGCTGGGATTATAGGCATGAGCCACCATGCCTGGCCCCTCAAAATTTTTTAATTAGCTCGGCGCAGTGATGCACACCTGTAGTCCCAGCTACTTGAGAGGCTGAGGCTAGAGGATTACTTGAGCCCAAAAAATCAAGGCTGCAGTGAGTTGTGATGATACCACTGCACTCCAGCCTAGATTCGAGACCCAGTCAAAAAAGAAGGAAGGAGCCGGGCGCGGTGCCTCAAGCCTGTAATCCCAGCACTTTGGGAGGCCGAGGTGGGTGGATCACGAGGTCAAGAGATCGAGACCATCCTGGTCAACATGGTGAAACCCCGTCTCTACTAAAAATACAAAAAATTAGCTGGGCATGGTGGCGCGTGCCTGTCGTCCCAGCTACTCAGGAGGCTGAGGCAGGAGAATTGCCTGAACCCAGGAGGCGGAGGTTGCGGTGAGCCGAGATCGCGCCATTGCACTCCAGCCTGGGTCACAAGAGCGAAACTCCGTCTCAAAAAAAAAAGAAGGAAGGAAGGAAGGGAGGGAGGGAGGGATGGGAAGGGAAGGAGGAAGGAAGAAAGGAAGAGAGAAAGAAAGCAGGGAAGGGGACAGGGGGAGGGCGAGGGGGAGGGGGGAAGGAAAAAGGAAGGAAGGAAAGGAAGGAGGGAAGGAGGGGAAAAGAAGGAAGGGAGGGGCCGGGCGCGGTGGCTACGCCTGTAATCCCAGCACTTTGGGAAGCTGAGGTGGGTGGATCACCTGAGGTCAGGAGTTCGAGACCAGCCTGATCAATATGGTGAAACCCCATCTTTAAAAAAAAAAAAAAAAAAAGAAGGAAGGGAGAAAGAAAGGGAGAGGGGGAGGGGAGAGGAGGAGGAAGAGGGGAAAGGAAGGAAGGAAGGAAAGCACTTGATAGTTGTATTTTACAAAATATTTTCCAACAATTCTCTTACACTATATACTGTTTTTTATAATGTGGCTTTGACAGTCTTTCATCAGAAGTTGGGATCTCTGTCTCCTCGTCTTTTTTTCTTTTTTTGAGACGGAGTTTCGCTCTTGTTACCCAGGCTGGAGTGCAATGGCGCGATCTCGGCTCACCGCAACCTCCGCCTCCTGGGTTCAGGCAATTCTCCTGCCTCAGCCTCCTGAGTAGCTGGGATTACAGGCATGCACCACCATGCCCAGCTCATTTTTTGTATTTTTAGTAGAGACGGGGTTTCACCATGTGGACCAGGATGGTCTCGATCTCTCGACCTTGTGATCCACCCGCCTCCGCCTCCCAAAGTGCTGGGATTACAGGCGTGAGCCACCGCGCCCGGCTGAGACCCTGTCTTTAAAAAAAAACAACAACAACATTTCAAGGAGAGAGAAGGAGAAAAGACCGAGGCACAGTATAGAGCTGGGGACGTCTGAGGACGAAAGGACCCCTCTGGGGTGAGGGGCTCTCGGGGTAACTGGGAGAGAAAGGCGCTGGAAGGCATCCAGATGAAATCAGATGCTGTGTACTCTGTGGAGACGCTGGTGTTCCTCTAACTGCACTGGGTTGTAAGCAAAGGACTCACCTGATTCAATTTGATATTTAAAAAGTCAGGCTGGGCATGGTGGCTCACACCTGTAATCCCAGAACTCTGGGAGGCCCAAGTCGGTGGGTCACGAGGTCAGGAGTTCGAGACCAGCCTGGCCAACACGGTGAAACCCCGTCTCTACTAAAAATACAAAAAATTAGCTGACCGTGGTGGTGCACCTGTAATCCCAGCTACTCAGGAGCCTGAGGCAGGAGAATCCCTTAAACCTGGGAGGCGGAGGTTGCAGTGAGCCAAGGTCATGCCATTGCCCTCCAGCCTGGGCGACAGGGCGAGACTCCGTCTCAATACAAAAAAAGTCATTCTACTCTGTGAAGAAAGAGCTGGAGGAGGCAAAGGGAAGACGAGAGATCAGCGAGGAGGCTGTTGTAACTCAGGTCGGGATATGGTGGCCCGGACTTCGTAGCAGTGTGCAGGCAGAGTGCCTCTGTCAAGGTCTGGATGCAGGGTGCGTTCTGATATAGAGAGTGGGGGACAAAGCGCAGCATCAAGACTTTCGCTGAAAATTTCTGTTTTGAGCAATTGGGTGGAATGGACGGAGGTGTCTTTCACCAGATGTGGGAAAGGCCAGGGAACGGTTTAAAGGACTGAGTGTGGTGGCTCATGTCAGTAATCCCAGCACTTCAGGAGACTGAGGCAGGAGGATCCCTTGAGAGCAGGAGTTGGAGACCACCCTGGGCAACGTAGCAAGAAAAATTAAAGTAGAGGCCGGGCGCGGTGGCTCACGCCTGTAATCCCAGCACTTTGGGAGGCCGAGGCGGGTGGATCACGAGGTCAAGAGATCGAGACCATCCTGGTCAACATGGTGAAACCCTGTCTCTACTAAAAATACAAAAAATTAGCTGGGCCTGGTGGCGCGTGCCTGTGATCCCAGCTACTCAGGAGGCCGAGGCAGGAGAATCGCCTGAACCTGGGAGGCGGAGGTTGCAGTGAGCCAAGATGGTGCCATTGTACGCCAGCCTGGGTGTCAAGAACAAAGCTCCATCTTGAAAAAAAAATTTTATTTATTTATTTATTTATTTGTCTATTTATTTATTTTAAAAGACGAGGTTTCACCATGTTGGTCAGGCTGGTCTTGAACTCCCAACCTCAGGTGATCCACCCGTCTTGGCCTCCAAAGTGCTTGGATTACAGGCGTGAGCGACCACGTCGGGCCAACAAACTTTTTTTTTAATAAAGCGATCAGAATAGAAGAGAACCCAGGACTGAGCCCTGAGGACACAGCACAGAGGTCAGAGAGGAGGAGAGTCTCAAGTAGAGAAACTGGAAGCGATGGGCGCAGAGTGGTCAATGCTGCTGCAGCCGAGGGACAATGTTCCAGAGGATGAAGCTGGTCAGCCAGCCAAGTGCTTCTCACAGGGTCCCTCCGTACCCAGGCCATTGATTTGATGGGGACATGGAGCTGATTCAGGAACGGGTGAGCGGCGGTGGCAGCCCGTGCGCGAAGGCAGCTCGTGGAGGATGGCTAGTTTCTCCTCACTCCGTGCCACATCCGCTATGAACTTATCCCATCTCTTCTTCCAGATTGCCATGAAAGTATTTTTCTCAATCTCCAACAGGCTACTGTACCTGCAGGAACAGGAGGAGCCCAGGTGAGCCTCGGGGCACGGGCTGGGAACGGGGCAGGGAGCCTGAGGGGACATCGGAGGCTGGCAGAGCGGTCTCCCTAGTCCAGCAGCAAGGACTAACCAGCCATGATAAGAAGGAACCCACAGAAACCATCGAGGCATCGGCCTCAAGCCTCCTCAGATGCCAACACAAGCTGTGGGCTGGAAGGCGGGCAGGGGGCCTGGGACGACATGAGACACTCACTTGATAGAGTTGATGGCCAGCTGTTTGAGGGTCCTCAGGTCAGCCGTCATTCCCCCAATGCCCATGAAGACCTCATAGAAATCGTACGACAAGCCTTTGGCACCAAAGATCGCTGGGTCATCAGAGCTGACGACCATGGGGTGCCCGATGGCCATCAGAGTAGCTGCAGGGTGGTTTCTCAAATCAGACACCAGTTTCAGAACCTGCCCGGTAGGAGGCAAGGGAGAAAGATGAACTCTGATCCCCAAAAAGAGTAGTCATGAGTGAAATGAGACCTGGAGTCCCCATCAGCTCCCTTCATCTCGCCATTGCTATCTTCCCAATACAGGGATGACTTTTGGGCAGTCACAAGGAGAACAGGGCCAGTCCCCATGCGTCCCCCTCCTGTTTCATCAGCACCACAAATACTCGGTCACTTCTGGTCCTGCTCAGAGAAGCGCTAACTGAACACAGACACAAAAGACCCCAGGAAGCACTGGCCGCCCCCATGTCCTTTTTGCTCTGTCTGCAGTTTTGCCCAAAATTCCACCCCACTGGGGACCCTCACAGCTGCCACATTCTTACTGGTGGCTTAAGCAAAAGGCCCCTCCTGAATAACTTTACTAACAGGTGGGATAGTGGAGGGATTTTGGTAACAAGAGAGTTAAGGAGAGAGAAATTATACGGGAAAAAGTTTAAGAGGGCAGAGGTTGCGGTTAGCGGAGATCACATGGGATCAGCGGCATGAGTCACACATACCTGGTTAGAGATGGGACAGACTTCTATGGGAATGTCCTTTTTCTGTGAGTAAGCCCTGAGGGCGGGGTGTTTGGTCAAAGCAAATCCATGTCCGATTCTGGTAGTGTTTAGCATCAAAGCATCCAGAATGTTCTTGTCTATGGAAGTGCCCTGCCAGTCTGAAGACAGGGGAATGGTTTTCCATGGGGGATGGATGGGTCTGACCCCGCCCCCCCCAGAACATCCTCAAAGAAACAGCCCCCCAAGCACAAAAATGAAAAGAAATTAACACAAATACACACACACACAGTTTCCTTTTAACAATGCTAAAGAGGCCGGGCGCGGTCGCTCAAGCCTGTAATCCCAGCACTTTGGGAGGCCGAGGCAGGTGGATCACGAGGTCAAGAGATCCAGACCATCCTGGACAACATGGTGAAACCCCGTCTCTACTAAAAATACAAAAAATTAGCTGGGCGTGGTGGCACGTGCCTGTAATCCCAGCTTCTCAGGAGGCTGAGACAGGAGAATTGCCTGAACCCAAGAGGTGGAGGTTGCGGTGAGCCGAGATCGCGCCATTGCACTCCAGCCTGGGTAACAAGAGTGAAACTCCGTCTCAAAAAAAAAAAAAAAAAAAAAAATTAGAAATAAATTAAAAATAATACATGTAAAGTGGCCGATTCTATTTTCCTTGTTATTGCTTCTCCACGGGGCTGCTGTCAGGGTTCAATGAGCGAGAACATCGGAGAGGGCTCCGGAAGCATCTGCAGGGCCCTGTCCCTGAGGCGTGTCCCTGCCGTCCTGTCTCCCGGCAGCAGGCTGGAGTCATGGCTGCAAGTTCTCCCACTGCCCACCTCTGCTGATTCCCGCGGGCTTACCTGTCTCTCCGGCGTGGAAGAAGTAAGGCAGCTTAACACCGTCCTTGGCGGGGGTCATCAGTGCTTTGCTGTAGTAGTGTAAGGAGTGCCCAGTGTCCTCCTGCCCCACCTGCAGGACAGAGAGGGACAGGACGTGTCTGCGGGGCACGTGCCTCACTTGCTGATGGCACTCTTTGTCACCCGTGCACACCCTCCCTTGTACCCTGCCGCCACTGCCGGGACCTTTGTCATGCAACCTTTTAAGAATGGCAAGGAGGCCGGGCGCGGTGGCTCACGCCTGTAATCCCAGCACTTTGGGAGGCCGAGGCGGGTGGATCACGAGGTCGAGAGATTGAGACCATCCTGGTCAACAAGGTGAAACCCCGTCTCTACTAAAAATACAAAAAGTTAGCTGGGCATGGTGGCGCGTGCCTGTAATCCCAGCTACTCAGGAGGCTGAGGCAGGAGAATTGCCTGAACCCAGGAGGCGGAGGTTGCGGTGAGCCGAGATCGCACCATTGCACTCCAGCCTGGGTAACAAGAGCAAAACTCCGTCTCAAAAAAAAAAAAAAAAAAGAAAGAAAAAAAGAGACCCAGAGAGTTTAAGACAGAGAGAGAGAATGAAAGCCTGGGCCCAGGTGTCAGAGGACTCCAGCCACCACTGCCACCCACCTCTTGTAGGCCCCCGTGTGTCAGTTCCCCTGAGACTCAGTTTCTTGCCTATTACAGGAAGAACAACCACACCAAAACCATGCTTTTCAAAGAAAGCTGCGCACAGCCGTGGGGCTCTGTAGCTGAGTGCTTTAGTATTAAAAAGGCCTCTCTTGGCTGGGTGCAGTGGCTCACACCTGCAATCCCAGCACATTAGGAGGCAAAGGCCTGGCCAACACAGGGAAACCCTGTCTCTACGAAAAATGCAAACATGAGGCGCAGTGTGGTGGCTCACGCCTGCAATCCCAGCACTTTGGGAGCCCAAGGCAGGTGGGTCACCTGAGGTTAGGAGTTCAAGACCAGCCTGACCAACATGGAGAAACCCTGTCTCTACTAAAAATACACACCCAAAAAAAATGAGTTGGATGTTGTGGCACATGCCTGAAATCTCAGCTACTTGGGAGGCTGAAAGCAGGAGAATTGCTTGAACCCGGGAGGTGGAGGTTGCAGTGAGCTGAGATCGCACCATTGCACTCCAGCCTGGGTAACAAGAGCGAAACTCTGTCTCAAAAAAAGAAATGCAAAAATGAGTCAGGCATGGTGGTGGGCACTTGTAATCCCAGCTACTCAGGAGGCTAAGGCAGTAGAATCGCTTGAACCCGGGAGGTGGAGGTTGCAGTGAGTGGAGATCACGCCACTGCACTCCAGCCTGGGCAACAGAGTGAGGCTCTGTGACCCTCCCACCTTGCCCCCGCAGTTCTGAGATTACAGGCATGAGCCACTGCCCTGGCCTAATCTAGACTTTTTTTTTTTTTTTTTTTTTTTTTTTGAGATGGAGTTTCGCTCTCGTTACCCAGGCTGGAGTGCAATGGCGCCATCTCAGCTCATCGCAACCTCCGCCTCCTGGGTTCAGGCAATTCTCCTGCCTCAGCCTCCTGAGTAGCTGGGATTACAGGCACGCACCACCACGCCCAGCTAATTTTTTGTATCTTTAGTAGAGACGGGGTTTCACCATGTTGACCAGGATGGTCTCGATCTCTTGACCTCGTGATCCACCCGCCTTGGCCTCCCAAAGTGCTGGGATTACAGGCTTGAGCCACCGCGCCCGGTTTTTTTTTTTTTTTTTTTTGAGATGGAGTTTCGCTCTTGTTACCCATGCTGGAGTGCAATGGCGCAATCTCGGCTCACCGCAACCTCCGCCTCCTGGGTTCAAGCAATTCTCCTGCCTCAGCCTCCCTAGTAGCTAGGACTACAGGCACGCGCCACCTTGCCCAGCTCATTCTTTGTATTTTTAGTAGAGACGGGGTTTCACCATGTTGACCAGGACGGTCTCGATCTCTTGACCTCGTGATCCACCCGCCTCGGCCTCCCAAAGTGCTGGGTTTACAGGCTTGAGCCACCGCGCCCGGCTTTTTTTTTTTTTTTTTTTTTTTTTTTTTTTTTTTAATGGAGTCTCTCTCTATGGCCCAGCTGGAGTGCAGTGGTGCAATCTCCGCTCACTGCAACCTCCACCTCCTGAGTTCAAGTGATTCTTTCTCAGCCTCCCAAGCAGCTGGTGTTCCAGGTGCGGACCACCTCGCCTGGCTAATTTTTCTATTTGTAGTAAAGATGGGGTTTTGCCATGCTGGCTGGGCTGGTCTTGAACTCCTGACCTGAGGTGATCCACCTGCCTCAGCCTCCCAAAGCGCTGGGATTATAGGCGTGAGCCACTGCGCCTGGCCAGTGCCACCGCTCTGGGTCTAGATTCTTAATGAGATTAATGAGCTTTCACCTAAGAAATCTGTCCTGGCTGTGCTTTGATTTGGTGGGGGGGTGTGGAACAATGACAACAGCTATCAATGCTCAGCTTCAAAAACAGGTGTGGCTGGGCACGGTGGTTCACACCTACAACCCCAACACTTTGGAAGGCTGAGGAGAGTGGATCATGAGGTCAGGAGTTCGAGACTAGTCTGATCAACACGGTGAAACACTGTCTCTACTGAAAATACAAAAATTAGGAGGCGGGGGCCAGGCGCGGTGGCTCACGCCTGTAATCCCAGCACTTTGGGAGGCCGAGGCGGGTGGATCACGAGGTCAAGAGATCGAGACCATCCTGGTCAACATGGTGAAACCCCGTCTCTACTAAAAAAAAAAAAAAAATTAGCTGGGCATGGTGGCGCGTGCCTGTAGTCCCAGCTACTCAGGAGGCTGAGGCAGGAGAATTGCCTGAACCCAGGAGGCGGAGGTTGCGGTGAGCCGAGATCGCGCCATTGCACTCCATCCTGGGTAAAAAAAAAAAAAAAAAAAACACACACACACACACACACACACACACACAAAAAATTAGGAGACTGAGGCAGGAGAATCACTTGAACCTGGGAGGCGGAGGTTGCAGTGAGCTGAGATCGCAGCACTGCACTCCAGCCTGGGTAACAGAGTGAGACTTCGTCTCAAACATATATATATAGGTGAGGAAGAAAATGGAATAGAAAAGAGGGAGGGACAAATATCACTACCTTGAGTATTTGCAAAGAGCTGGCTCCATCCTGGACTCTGTTTCCAGATATTATCCCCCACCCCTACTCTGCACGCTACAGGGGGTAGTGAGGGTTTTCAGAGCCACAGCTGGGTGAGCGGTGTGGGATAGAAAAAAGGGCACAGGCAGGGCCATGGGGAATGAACCCATTACTGTCATCAGAACTCCCTGAATGCCACCCTTATTCTGGAACTTTCCTTGTTAGCCAACTGGCTGCTCTCCCTTCTCCAGTGACCGCCATCCTCTGCAGACCCCTGAAGAGGATCAGCGCTGAGCTCTGAGCAGCCCTGCTGGGTCAGCAGGCTGAGCCTGTCCCTGGGATTTTAGGGGTACCACAGGCACGTTGCTTTCCCGTCCCGGGAGCTGCCGCTCCACCCAGACAGGCATCCCCGCATGCACCCCTAACAGGCAGCCCTTGTGTTCACAGCATGGGTTACCAGATCGAACCCTGCCACCACCGTGGGGAACTTGGTCCGGAGCCCCATGGCTGTTCGGATGGATTCTGCGATGACAGTCACATCTTTGGATCTGCGAGACAGACGGAGAAGCCAGGAGACAGTGCCCAGCATGGACAGAGAGCTATACACCCCAGAGTGCTCCCTCTGTGCGGGGCTGGGCGGTCCTGAGTGCACATCAGCCGTTTCCCAAACCTGAGGCACCCCTGCTCTCCTGACCCCACCCCGACCAGGCCACTGTGACCCCAAATCCATCCTTCTTCTTATTTTTTCTTTTTTTTTTTTTGAGACGGAGTTTCGCTCTTGTTACCCAGGCTGGAGTGCAATGGCGCGATCTCGGCTCACCGCAACCTCCGCCTCCTGGGTTCAGGCAATTCTCCTGCCTCAGCCTCCTGAGTAGCTGGGATTACAGGCACGCGCCACCATGCCCAGCTAAATTTTTTTGTATTTTTAGTAGAGACGGGGTTTCACCATGTTGACCAGGTTGGTCTCGATCTCTCGACCTTGTGATCCACCCGCCTCGGCCTCCCAAAGTGCTGGGATTACAGGCTTGAGCCACCGCGCCCGGCTATTTTTTTTTTTAGAAAGATGGGGTTTCACCACCATGGCCAGGTTGGTCTTGAACTCCTGACCTCAGGTGATCCACCCTCCTCCGCCTCCCAAAGTGCTAAGATTACAGGCGTGAGCCACCGCGCCCGGCCCAAATCCATTCTTCAAAGACACTTGCTGGTTCTAGGGGGACCTGTAGTCTCTGAAAAGTAGGTGGGGTCAGAGGACCCACGGGAACGGTCTTTTTTGTCTGCATTCGGAGGAGGCCAAGTGGCCTTTCAACTCTCACTGCATCTCTGTGAGGGGATGTGGGCGTGGACGCCATTCGGGGACAGCTCTCTGCCCACTGGACACCTGCAAAGGGCCACAGGTCACCCAAGTCCCTGTTGAGTTGGCTGGACCCGGTAACCATCTGGCCTCTTGCTGATGACATCAGCAGGACCCTGGGCACTGCAGAAACCCTACCGGGGCAAGGCAGGCGGCATGACACAAAAACCCCAAAACACAGGGTCTGGCGCAAGCCCACGACAGGCTCCAGGTCTCTGCCCTGCCACTGACTCTCCAGCTCCGATCCTTGGCTCTGTGGGGACAAAGCCTTCCTGGCCTGCCCTACCCATGGCCTCTCCCTGGAGCCTAGGCGAACCTGGGGGCACTGGTGCACTCAGCTCAGCCCTCACACCCTCCTGCCATTGGCCCTGGCAAGGGGTAGCTGGCACCAGGGAGCCGCTGAGCAGAACCTGGGCCCATCCTGCAAGCTCTCTCCTAGGAAGACGGGCACACAGGCCAGAGTTCAGCTCCTCCAGGTCCCAGGCACCGTGGAAGGGGAGGGGACTCAGGAGGACTGGGCTCGGAAGGAGGCTCCCGGCGAGTCAACGCCGTCCAGCCTACAGGCTTGTGGGTGGGTTGAGCAGAGGAGCCACCGTGCTGATCCCTTTGCTGCCCACCCTGTGCCTGACTCCCAGTGACCCCACTGGCTGCTGCCCTTGCGGCCGTGACCACAGACAGGTCCCAGCCTTAGACTGGCTGCTCTTTTTTTTTTTTTTTTTTTCTTGAGACGGAGTTTCGCTCTTGTTACCCAGGCTGGAGTGCAATGGCGCGATCTTGGCTCACCGCAACCTCCGCCTCCTGGGTTCAGGCAATTCTCCTGCCTCAGCCTCCTGAGTAGCTGGGATTACAGGCACGAGCCACCATGCCCAGCTAATTTTTTGTATTTTTAGTAGAGACGGGGTTTCACCATGTTGACCCAGATGGTCTGGATCTCTCGACCTCGTGATCCACCCGCCTCGGCCTCCCAAAGTGCTGGGATTACAGGCTTGAGCCACCGCGCCCGGCCAGACTGGCTGCTCTTTAAAATGAGAGGAGAGGTCCTGTCTGGCAAAGTCAGGACGCTGAAGCTGCAAAGCTTTCTGTGCTTCCCTGGGAAAAAGAGTGGGTTTTTCACCCACGTGCCAGGCCACGCAAGTGGTGCTACTGAGGTTCTCCATAGGCAGACCTGAGCCGGTGCCACTCAGGACGTCTCCCTGATCAGGGACTCGCATGCAACCGCACGCAGAACAAATTGAAACCAAATAATGGGCCAGTTATCCAAACATTCAGGCAAAACCATTATACTCATAACTGAGTCACCCAGGCCGGCATGGAGTCACAGCCAAGAATTCTCTGGGAAATTGACACGCTCTTCATTTCAGTTTGGTGGTGAAGACCTGAACTAGGAGGGGCTTCAGGACCCATTCCTACTACTGTCCTCACACACAGAAAGCCCCTTGGCACCCCTGCTGGGCGGCGTCTCCCGAGCTGCCACTCCCCTCCCAGCCTGGCAGCTCTGCCTGCCTCCCGGTCTCCCAACCACAGCTCTTCAGCAATGTTCTCTCTCACCTGTGATCTGAATAAATGAGTTTGATTCCAACAAACTCAGGGTGAGTTTGCACAAACTTCTCAGCCACTTCCTGGTAAGCCTTCACTGACCACTGTACGTCATGCTGCGCTCCGCTGAGCTCGTACACCTGGGAGGGAAGTACAGCCAGGAGCCATCAGGCCAGCAGAGCAAGGCACCTCTCCCAGCCACCCCTGCCCAGCCACCCCCTCCCAGCCACCCACCCCTTCCCAGCCAACCCTCCCAGCCACCCCCCCAGCCACCCCCTCCCAGCCAATCCCTCCCACCCCCCCAGCCAACCCCTCCCAGCCACCCCCTCCCAGCCACCCCTTCCCAGCCAACCCTCCCAGCCACCCCTTCCAAGCCACCCACTCCTCGCCACCTCTTTCCCAGCTGTCAGCAAGTTCTGGGAAAGTAGACTGGGACAGGGGACCCATAAAACTGTTTTTTTTTGTTTTGTTTTTTTTTTTGTTTTTTGAGACGGAGTTTCGCTCTTATTACCCAGGCTGGAGTGCAATGGCGCGATCTCGGCTCACCGCAACCTCCGCCTCCTGGGCTCAGGCAATTCTCCTGCCTCAGCCTCCTGAGTAGCTGGGATTACAGGCACGCGCCACCACGCCCAGCTAGTGTTTTGTATTTTTAGTAGAGACGGGGTTTCACCATGTTGACCAGGATGGTCTCGATCTCTCGACCTCGTGATCCACTCGCCTCGGCCTCCCAAAGTGCTGGGATTACAGGCTTGAGCCACCGTGCCCAGCCATAAAACTGTTTTATTTGCTTGTGTTTGGAGGAGCCCAAGTGGCCTTGTTCCCAAAAGTCCAGACAGGCTGGAATTGCGCTTCCCTTGTTCAGGACCTCCGTGGCCTCAGATGTCTCTGCTGCTGCATGGGAAATTCCTAGCTGGCTCTGGGATAACCCTGATGGCCACCTATCTCCTTCACTGCTGGCTTACGGCACTTAAAAGAGCACCTGGGGCAGGCTGTGGTGGTTCACGCCTGTAATTCCAGCACTTTGGGAGGCCAAGGCGGCAGATCGCTTGAGGTCAGGAGTCAGACTACCCTGGCCAACATGGTAAAACCCCTGTCTCTACTAAAAATATAAGATTAGCCTAGCATGGTGGTGCATGCCTGTTAATCCCAGCCCCAGCCACTGGGGAGGCTCAGGCAGGAGAATCGCTTGAACCCAGGAGATAGAGGTTGCAGTGAGCCAAGATCACACTCCAGCCTGGGTGACAGAACAAGACTCTATCTCAAAAAAAAAAAAAAAAAAAAAGGACGAGCACGGTGGCCCATGCATATAATCCCATCACTTTGGGAGGCCGAGGCGGGCAGATCACGAGGCCAGGAGTTCAAGACCAGCTTGGGCAATATGGTGAAACCTCGTCTCTACTAAAAATACAAAAATTAGCCAGGCTAGTGGTGTGGGTCTGTAATCCCAGCTACTTGGGAGGCTGAGGCGGAAGACTCACTTGAACCCAGGAGGTGAAGTTGCAGTGAGCTGAGATCATGCCATTGCATTCCAGCCTGGGTGACAAAGACTCTTGTCTCAAAAAAAAAAAAAAAAAAAAATATATATATATATATATATGGAATTTTCTGCAGAAACAGTGGGGTGAGGGGAATGGGAGCAATAATAGGGAGGTGTTGGCCGGGCACCATGGCTCACACCTGTAATCTCAGCACTTTGGGAGGCCGAGGTGGGTGGATCATAAGCTCAGTAGTTCGAGACCAGCCTGGACAAGATGTTGAAACCCTGTCTCTATTAAAAATACAAAAATTAGTGCCGGGCGCAGTGGCTCGAGCCTGTAATCCCAGCACTTTGGGAGGCCGAGGCCGGTGGATCACGAGGTCGACAGATCGAGACCATCCTGGTCAACATGGTGAAACCCCGTCTCTACTAAAAATACAAAAATTAGCTGGGCATGGTGGCGCGTGCCTGTAATCCCAGCTACTCAGGAGGCTGAGGCAGGATAGTTGCCTGAACCCAGGAGGCGGAGGTTACGGTGAGACGAGATCGCGCCATTGCACTCCAGCCTGGGTAACAAGAGCGAAACTCCGTCTCAAAAAAAAAAAAAAAAAAATTAGCTGGGCACGGTGGCACACGCCTGTAATCCCAGCTACTCATGAGGCTGAGGCAGGAGAATCGCTTGAACCTGGGAGGTGGAGGTTGTGGTGAGCCGAGATTGTGCCATTGCACTCCAGCCTGGGTGACAGAGTGAGACTCGGTCTCAAAAAAATGTATATGGCCGGGCGCAGTGATTCAAGCCTGTAATCCCAGCACTTTGGGAGGCCGAGGCGGGTGGATCACGAGGTCGAGAGATCGAGACCATCCTGGTCAACATGGTGAAACCTCGACTCTACTAAAAATACAAAAACTAGCTGGGCATGGTGGCGTGTGCCTGTAATCCCAGCTACTCAGGAGGCTGAGGCAGGAGAATTGCCTGAACCCAGGAGGCGGAGGTTGCGGTGAGCCGAGATCGCGCCATTGCACTCCAGCCTGGGTAACGAGAGCGAAACTCCATCTCAAAAAAAAAAAAAAATGTATATATACGGAGATGTCGATTACTTCCATGGCCATCCATTAAGCCCCTATGATGTAAAAGAAACAGGGCTGGGCACTAGAAGGGAGAAAAAGTCCTAATAGACAAGATGGCTGCCCTCAGGAGTGACAATATAGTCAGAGAGATAGACTTGTGCCACTGAAAACAGTTCACACGTGTAACCCCGGCACTTTGGGAGGCTGAGGCAGGAGGATCACTCCAGCCCAGGAGGTCAAGACAAGCCTGGGTAATGAGTGAGTCTCTGTCTCTAAAAAGGAATGAAAGAAAACAATAGAGTCAGTTCTAAAGAGAAGCACATGGCCTCCCAGAAGCAGCAGCAGTCTGTGGTGACTGGATGGGGTCAGAGAAAGTCACTAGCCCTGACCGAGCGCGTGGTGGCTCCACACAGAGCCAAGAGCAGCCTGGAAGGGGGTGGTGCGAGGAGCTGAGGTTGAGAGCCTCGGTGGGAGCCGAAGCTGTGCCCTTGCTAAGGAAGAAACACCTTCCTCCTCACTGGAGTTGGCATCTCAGGAGCTGGGTCCACCTCCTCTGCTCATTTCTCACCTGCCCCTTGCCTCACTCCTGCCGCCACAGCCTGGGGGCCTCCAGGCTGCTGCCATCGGGTGCCCTTTGTCTCTGGGCAGTCCCTCGGACCCCACTTTCCCTCGTGTCCTGCTGCTCTCTGATCTCCAGGGTGCCGCCCTGCTGCCTGGGTAAGGCAGTAGGGGAGCAAACGGTGAAGTCTCTGCTCTCCGCTGGTGTCTGCTCTTCTGTTTCCTCTGCTGCCCCCAGGAAGCCTGGCACATCACACAGCCCCCACACCCTGCACCTGGCCAGGGCACTGGGTTCCCTCTGCTCAGACAGTTTCCCTGACTGCCTGACCTGGCAGGGACATGCTCAGGGCTACTGAACGTTAAGGCTGCCAGAGCGTGCCAGAGGGGAGACCCTTCGGTCCTGTTCACTCCCAATCTGGTATTGTCCATTATTCGTATTATTATCTACTGAAAGGGGTCAGAACATGTCACCCCAAATAGGCCACTTTAGCAGAAGGACTATTTTTAGCTGAAGGCAATTAAGCAGCAGCAAATGAAGAAAGAGCTCCTTGCCCACGTCAACGTCATCTGCCTCAATTTCCCTTTGTGAAGGTGCTGACCTTCCCTCTCCTACTACCAGGAGAATCACCATTTTCTTTTTTTTTTTTTTTTTTTTTTCCGAGACGGAGTTTCGCTCTTGTTACCCAGGCTGGAGTGCAATGGCGCGATCTCGGCTCACCGCAACCTCCGCCTCCTGGGTTCAGGCAATTCTCCTGCCTCAGCCTCCCGAGTAGCTGGGATTACAGGCACGCGCCACCACGCCCAGCTAGTTTTTTGTATTTTTAGTAGAGACGGGGTTTCACCATGTTGACCAGGATGGTCTCGATCTCTTGGCCTCGTGATCCACCCACCTCAGCCTCCCAAAGTGCTGCGATTATAGGCGTGAGCCACCGGGCCTGGCCTGAGACTCACCATTTTCATTAGAAACAGAAAGTTGTCACCAAGATGGGTCCGCACAAACCAGCCTTGTAAACTTGCCCTTATCTTCCATGAGTTTCCCCCATATGTTTACCTGCCCACAATTCACTGTCCCTAAAAGCCCAAACCCCTTTTCCCTCTTGTTGTCACTTCTTCAAAATTTATTACCGTTGTTAAGATGGAATAGAAGCCCCTAGTCTAACTTCTTTGAGGCTTCGCATCTTTTCAAGGAAGGCGTCCACCTATCTGAGCACATAACAGATGTTTAGCCCAGGCGTGGTGGTTCGTACCAGTCATTCCAGCACTTTGGGAGGCGGAGGTGGATCACCTTGGGCAGATCACCCGAGGTCAGGCGTTCGAGACCAGCCTGCCCAAGATGGCAAAACCCCGTCTCTACTAAAAATACAAAAATTAGCCGGGCGTGGTGATGGGTGCCTGTAATTCCAGCTACTCAGGAGGCTGAGGCAGGAGAATTGCCTGAGCCCAGGAGGCGGAGGTTGCGGTGAGCCGAGATCGCGCCATTGCACTCCAGCCTGGGTAACAAGAGCGAAACTCCGTCTCAAAAAAAAAAAAAAAAAAGAAAAAGAAAGAATACAGGCAAAAGCCTGGGGGGCGGGTGGAGGAAGCACTAGAAATACCTGTGATATGAATGACAACGTGTAAGCAAACGTCTCGAAACGGCCGTCACAGGTTCGGTGCCCGGCCTGTGTCGCACGGCCTCTCCCTCCTCAGCGCCAGCAACGCCATCCCCTGCGGAGACCTCTGGGGTCTTGGAAGAGCCCCGTGAAGACTCAGGGGACCCAGTCGGAGCCTCCGCCTCTGCCGTGGGGGAAGGGACCGGGCCCCGGAGGTAGGACCCGCCTAGCGACTGTTGCCACTGGCGAGCGGCCTTTGTCCCTGAGCGTTAGGGACACAATGGGAGCGGGACCGTGCGGCCACTGCAGCCCCGGCCGGGATTCGCCGCCAGCAGGCGGGGGAGGCGGAGCGGCTCCGCGAAACGGTTCCCGAGAAGGCTGTTTCCAGCTGCTCCCGCGCCGATGGCCCCCCAACTCCGGCTCACGCGGGACATTAAGACCCCGACTCTCCGTGGCAAAAGCCTTTGTGCCGGGGTCAGATCCGAATAAATGGCCACACCCCATCCCCCTCAGCCTCCACAAGAATCCCAAATCCTAGCCGCCTTCTCGCAGCTTCTCCAAAGGCCAGCTGGGGGACGGGCAGGGGCGCGCGGCGCGAGGACCGGCCCCGAGGTCTCTGCACCCTGGCTCTGGAAGGAGGAAATGGCACCTCCAGAACAAGGGGGCAGGCCGGACCAGGAAGCGGGTGCTCGGGCCCCTCTCCCTCCCTCCCCTCCAGGCGCTCAGCAGCTTCTCCCACGCGCCACCCACCGCGCTCAAGATGAAGGTCCCCGTCTCGGCGTCTCCTCCCCTCCACCCACGGAAGATCGCAAGGTTCTGCCAGGGTCGGGTTTCCCTGTGCACGCCCACACCCAGACAGTTGCCAGGATTTGCCCAACAGGAAGCTTCTCCCCTGCCAGGGCCAAGGTCCATGCCAGGCAATCCATCTCCCCTCCAGAAAAATGAAAATTGAAGCCAGACGCCCTCCGGGATCTCCATTTGAGGTGGGCGTGGCTATAAAGGCGCTCGGAGAGCCCCGCACCGTGAGAAAAGCAACGAACTTAGGGAGCCCTGATCTGGTCCAATCACCCCTTACTACCTACGTGACCTTCATCGAGCTCTTTGACCTTTCCAAGCTTTAGTTTCGACATTTATAAGATAAATTAATACCTGGGCATGGTGGTTCACACCTGTAATCCTAGCACTTTGGGAGGCTGACGTAGGCGTGTTGCCTGAGCTGAGGAGTTCGAGACCAGCTTGGGCAATATGGTAAAACCCCCATCTCCACTAAAATACAGAAATTAGCTGGGCGTGGTGGCCTGCGCCTGTAGTCCCAGCTACTCAGGAGGGTAAGGCAGGAGGAGAATGGCTTGAACTCGGGAAGCGGAGGTTGCAGTGAGCTGAGATCCTGCCATTACACTCCAGCCTGGTGACAGAGCCAGACTTGGCCTCAAAAAAAAAAAAGGCTGTGGGGGGGAGGGGGGGCGCCCCAGTTTTGCTCGGGCCTGCACAGTCCATTTCAGGTTTCCTTGCTCATGGTGGCCCCTGGAAAAGCACATGTCCCTCTGCACCAGAGGCCTGGGTAGGCAATTCACGAGCATTCTGTCTGCTACCAGCTAAGGTCTGGGTCAGGCCAGAGCAAAGGAGGTGGGAGGAGCACAGGGGGTGGGAGGAGCACAGGAGGTGGGAGGAGCACAGGAGGTGGGAGGAGCACAGGAGGTGGGAGGAGCACAGGAGGTGGGAGGAGCACAGGGAGTGGGAGGAGCACAGGATGTGGGAGGAGCACAGGGGGTGGGAGGAGCACAGGAGGTCGGAGGAGCACAGGAGGTGGGAGGAGCACAGGGGGTGGGAGGAGCACAGGAGGTGGGAGGGGCAAAGGACGTGGGATGAGCACAGAAGGTGGGGGGGCAAAGGAGGTGGGAGGGGCACAGGAGGTGGGAGGAGCACAGGTGGGAGGGACAAAGGAAGTGGGAGGAGCACACGAGGTGGGAGGGGCAAAGGAGGTGGGAGGAGCACAGGAGGTGGGCGGGGCAAAGGATGTCGGGGGGGCAAAGGACGTGAGAGGAGCACAGGAGGTGGGAGAAGCACAGGAGGTGGGCGGGGCAAAGGAAGTGGGAGGAGCACAGAAGGTGGGAGGGGCAAAGGACGTGGGCGGGGCACAGGAGGTGGGAGGAGCACAGGAGGTGGGAGGGGCAAAGGAGGTGGGAGGAGCGAAGAGCAGAGCTGGGCTCACCGGCAGCAGCCTGGCTCTGATCTCCATGTAGAGCACGTTGTCCTCATAGAACTCCTGCATGCTCTGGAAGACATAGTCTCTGAACACTGGTGCGTAACGGATGAGGCCAGAGATGGTGGAGAAGATGGTTTTAAACTTCGACCAGACAGCATTTTGGTTTGTGTAAGTTACTTCCGGGTGCTGGGTCACCAGAGTGAAATTTCTCAGCAAGCTGTCCAAGACACAAAGCGGGGAGTGGTGGAGGCTGGTCCAGGAGACTCTCCCCAGGCACCCATTGGCCTGCTACCCACCTTGCGTCTCCCAGCTAGCAGCGCACCAGGATGCACCCTAGAGCAGCGATAAGGAAAGGGCAAAGGGGAGCATTCCCGGGCTCTCTGATACAAGACTGGGTCCTGTGGCCAGGCAGCCCAGTGCTCGCTTAAACTCTAACTTCAACCCCAGGAGACTGCTTGAGAGGAGAGCTCACCAGCCAGGCTCTCCTGGCTCCTGTCCTCCCTCCGCATGCTTGGCCAATCTGACCCCACTGTACTTACATTCTAGACCTAAAAGCTCTCTTTAACCCTCTTTCTCTCTCGTTCTTCCTATACCCCCTGACGGCAAACTAGACCAAGCTCTTTTTGGGGGATGTTATGGACTAGATTCTGACCCCAAGCCCCTAATTCAAATGTTGAAGCCCTAGCCCTCATATGAAGAAGGGACAAAGGGATGATAAAGATTAAATGAGATTGTAAGGATAGGGCCCTAGTGTAATAAGGATGGGTGTCCTTATAAGAAGAGGAGGCTGGGCACGGTGGCTCACGCCTGTAATCCCAGCACTTTGGGAGGCCCAGATGGGTGGATCATTTGAGGTCAGGAGTTTGAGACCAGCCTGACCAACATGGTGAAACCCCATCTCTACTAAAATACAAAAATTAGCTGGCCATGATGGTGCTTGCCTATAATTACTCAGGAGGCTGAGGCAGGAGAATCGCTTGAACCCTGGAAGTAGAGGTTGCAGTGAGCCCAGATCGCGACACTGCAGGGTGACACAGTGAGACTAGTCTCAAAAAAAAAAAAAGAGGAGGAAGAGACAGCAGGAGTGCATACACAGAGGAAAGGCCATGTGAGGACACAGCCGGAGGCGGCCTTCTGCATGCCAAAGAGACAGGCCTCAGGAGAAACAAACCCTGCCCCAGCACCTTGATCTTGGACTTCCAGCCTCCAGAACCACGAGAAAATCCATTCTTTTTTTTTTTTTTTTTTTTTTTTTTCTTTTTGAAACAGGGTCTCATCATCACCCAGGCTGGAGTACAATGTCACAATCACAGCTCACTGCAGCCTCAAACTCCCAGACTCAGGCAATCCTCTCATGTCAGCCCCTGGGGTAGCTGAGACTATAGCTGTGTGCCACCACATCTGGTTAGCTTTATTTTTTGTTGAGATGGGGGTCTTACTATGTTGCCCAGCCTCTTCTTTTTTTTTTTTTTTTTTTTTTTTTTCGAGATAGAGTCTTGCTCTGTCACCCAGGCTGGCGTGCAGTGGCACAGTCTTGGCTTACTGCAACCTCCACCTCCCAGGTTCAAGTGATTCTCCTGCCTTGGCCTCCCAAGTAGCTGGGATTACAGGTGCCTGCCACTATGTGTGGCTAATATTTTTGTATTTTTAGTAGAGACGGGGTTTCACCATGTTGGTCAGACTGGTTTCAAACTCCTAACCTCAAGTGATCTGCCCACCTCAATCTCCCAAAGGGCTGGGATTACAGGCGTGAGCCACTGTGCCCGGCCGCCAAGCTAGTCTTGAACTCCTGGGTGCAAGTGATCTTCGTCAGTCTCCCGAAGCGCTAGGATTACAGGCCTGACCCAGTGTGCCCAGCCCAAGAAAATCCATTCCTATTGTTTAAGCTCCCAGCCTGCAGTATTCTGTTATGTCAGCTCAAGCAGGTTAATGAAGGGGGTAGAATGGAAATGACTCAAATCAGGACCCAGATTTGAATCCTTGACTGGCCATTTACCAGCTGAGTGTCTTCACAGAAGCTAGTTAACCTTGTTGAGCTTCATATTTCTCATTTCATAAAGGGAAGCACTCTGTAGACATTTCTGTGATCAAACTAATGGTCACTTATAAAATATTACTATACGAGGCCAGGTTCGATGGCTTATCTCTGTAGTCCTAGCATTTTGGGAGGCCAAGGTGAGAGGATGGCTTGAGCCCAGGAGTTCAAGACCAGGCTGAGCAACATGGCAAAACCCCATCACTACAAAAAATACAAAAATTAGCTGGGCGTCATGCTGCACACTTCTAGTCTTAGCTACTCTGGATTGCTTCAGCCTGGGAGGTTGAGGCTACAGTGAGCTGAGATGGTGCCACTGCACTCCAGCCTAGATTATAGAATTATCTTTATTATCTTTTTTTTTTTTTTTTTGAGACGGAGTTTCGCTCTCGTTACCCAGGCTGGAGTGCAATGGCTCGATCTCGGCTCACCGCAACCTCTGCCTCCTGGGTTCAGGCAATTCTCCTGCCTCAGCCTCCTAAGTAGCTGGGATTACAGGCACACGCCACCACGCCCAGCAGGTTTTTTGTATTTTTTTTTTTTTTTTTTTTTTTTTTGAGACAGAGTTTCACTCTTGTTACCCAGGCTGGAGTGCAATGGCGCGATCTCGGCTCACCGCAACCTCCGCCTCCTGGGTTCAGGCAATTCTCCTGCCTCAGCCTCCTGAGTAGCTGGGATTACAGGCACGTACCACCATGCCCAGCTAATTTTTTGTATTTTTTTTTTAGTAGAGACGGGCTTTCACCATGTTGACCAGGTTGGTCTCGATCTCTCGACCTTGTGATCCACCCGCCTCGGCCTCCCAAAGTGCTGGGATTACAGGCGTGAGCCACCGCGCCCGGCCTAATTTTTGTATTTTTAAGTAGAGACGACGTTTCACCATGTTGGTCAGGCTAGTCTCGAACCCCTAACCCCGTGATCCGCCCACCTCAGCCTCCCAAAGTGCTGGAATTACAGGCATGAGCCACCATGCTCAGCTCTGCCTCATGCTTTTTTTCTTTTTTTGGAGACGGAGTTTCGCTCTTCTTGCCCAGGCTGGAGTGCAATGGCGCAATCTCGGCTCACTGCAACCTCCGCCTCCTGGGCTCAGGCAATTCTCCTGCCTCAGCCTCCTGAGTAGCTGAGATTACAGGCACGCGCTACCATGCCCAGCTAATTTTTTGTATTTTTAGTAGAGACGGGGTTTCACCATGTTGACCAGGATGGTCTTGATCTCTCGACCTCGTGATCCACCCGCCTTGGCCTCCCAAAGTGCTGGGATTACAGGCTTGAGCCACCGCGCCCGGCCTCGATCTCTTGACCTTGTGATCCACCTGCCTCGGCCTCCCAAAGTGCTGGGATTACAGGCTTGAGGGCCATCGCGCCCGGCCCATGCCTCATGCTTTTTTAAAGCCAGATTTTTATTGTTTCTTTCTTTCTTTTTTTTTTTTTTAAGCCAGATTTTTATCTATAGGTTTGTACCAAGGGAGACACCTCCCCACTGCCACCCATGACCGGCCTGGGACATGTGCTTTCTGAACTACTACTCACCTGTCATCAAACTCAGTCACGTTTTGCACCTGCCTCCGATAATGCTCCAACAGAATCCACTCATGACATTCTTCTGACGTACGCGGAGCTGGGTGAGCAAATCTGAACTGCACGATCCCCTTCGTCGTGAAACAGATGTGGCAGTGGGGTCTGTAGGTGACATTCCTCACCAGCCAGTCCATAGTCACAAGGCCAATGTCATGGAGGTGCAAGGCAGCCCCTGGAGAGGAAAGAAGAATGGGAGAGACAAAGGGGTACAGTCCCCTCCCACGACTCCAAGGCTGTAGGGACAGCGTGGATCATGAGGAGACATGGGATCAGAGGATCTCTGTCCAGACATGTTCCTTAGAACTTGTTTAATCCTTTAGTTTAAGAGTGGAGCTTCCGGCCCAGCATGGTGGCTCACGCCTGTAATCCAAGCACTTTGGAGGCCAAGGCGGGCGGATCACCTGAGGTCGGGAGTTCAAGACCAGCCTGACCAACATGGTGAAACCCCAGCTTTATTAAAAAAAAAAAAAAAAGGCCGGGCGCGGTGGCTCAAGCCTGTAATCCCAGCACTTTGGGAGGCCGAGGCGGGTGGATCACGAGGTCAAGAGATCGAGACCATCCTGGTCAACGTGGTGAAACCCCGTCTCTACTAAAAATACAAAAAATTAGCTGGGCATGGTGGCTCGTGCCTGTAATCCCAGCTACTCAGGAGGCTGAGGCAGGAGAATTGCCTGAACCCAGGAGGCGGAGGTTGCGGTGAGCCGAGATAGCGCCATTGCACTCCAGCCTGGGTAACAAGAGCGAAACTCCGTCTCAAAAAAAAAGAAAAAAAGAAAAAAAAAGATCGGGCTCGGTGGCTCACGCCTGTAATCCCAGCACTTTGGGAGGCCGTGGCGGGTGGATCACGAGGTCAAGAGATCGAGACCGTCTTGGTCAACATGGTGAAACCTGTCTCTACTAAAAATACAAAAAATTAGCTGGGCGTGGTGGAGTGCACCTGTAGTCCCAGCTACTCGGGAGGCTGAGGAAGGAGAATTGCTTGAACCCGGGAGGTGGAGGTTGCAGTGAGCCAAGATCAAGCCACTGCACTCCAGCCTGGCGCCTGGCGACAGAACAAGACTCTGCCTCAAAAAAAAAAAAAAAAAAAAAAAAAAAAAAAAAAAAAGTCTATGTTTATAACATTAAAAGAAAAAAAACACAGGTTTTGGAAAGTCTTTGTAAACTGCAAATTGCTATTATTATTATTTTTTTTTGAGACGGAGTTTCGCTCTTGTTACCCAGGCTGGAGTGCAATGGCGCGATCTCGGCTCACCGCGACCTCCGCCTCCTGGGTTCAGGCAATTCTCCTGCCTCAGCCTCCTGAGTAGCTGGGATTACAGGCACGCGCCACCATGCCCAGCTAATTTTTTGTATTTCTAGTAGAGACGGGGTTTCACCATGTTGACCAGGATGGTCTCGATCTCTTGACCTCGTGATCCACCAGCCTCGGACTCCCAAAGTCCTGCGATGACAGGCTTGAGCCACCGCGCCCGGCCAATTGCTATTATTTTTAAATTTTAAATTGACATTTTTGGCTGGGTGCAGTGGCTCCTTACCTGCAATCCCAGCACTTTGGGAGGCTGAGCTGCCCAGGTCAAGAGATGATGAAATAATTAGCATCCTGAACATATGAATAGCCAGGGTGGTGGTGCACCTGTAACCCAGGCTATCTCTTGTGCCCGGGAGGTGGAGGTTGCAGTGAGCTATGATGGCACCACTGCTCTCCCGCCTGGAGGTCATGGTGAAACCCCGTCTCTACTAAAAATATTAAAATGGGCCGGGTGCGGTGGCTCACGCCTGTAATCCCAGCACTTTGGGAGGCCGAGGTGGGCGGATCACGAGGTCAAGAGATCAAGACCATCCTGGTCAACATGGTGAAACCCCGTCTCTACTAAAAATACAAAACATTAGCTGGGCATGGTGGCGCGTGCCTGTAATCCCAGCTACTCAGGAGGCTGAGGCAGGAGAATTGCCTGAACCCAGGAGGCGGAGGTTGCAGTGAGCCGAGATGGCGCCATTGCACTCCAGCCTGGGTAATGAGAGCGAAACTCCGTCTCAAAAAAAATTTAAAAAAAAAAAAATATATATATATATATATATATATATATATACACAAAAATTAGCCAGGCATGGATGCTAATTATTTCATCATTCATGGAGGTATGTTTATACCACTCCAGGATGTTATATCATATAATCCCAGGTAGCTTAGCCCCTGGGAAAGGCGTAGAAGAAAGGGTTGTAAGGAAAGGTATAAAGGGAATAGCACAGTCTCAGGGCTGGATGAGTCCCTCTGCCTTCCCAGCACCTAAAACCACGCCTTTCCAAAGCTTACCTTTTGGCATCATCCTGAGGATATTAAACACCCGACTTCTCTCAATGAGTGGCTTGGCCCGGAAAAAGTGCATGCTGGGTGGGAATATCAGGGTCTTCATGGCCTCCTCCATCTCAGTGATTTTGAGGGTCATGAGCTTCTCATTGGCCTGCTCCTCCTTGATGTTCAGCACCAGCTGCCCCCCCAGCTGCATCATCTTTTCTTTTGTCAATAGATGCTCCCGTTCTTCATCCTTGGATAGAGCTGAGCCGACGAAAGACATTACCAAAGCCAACAGCAAAAAGCATAGGGCTGACCGCCCAGATGGTCCATGCACCAGCATCGGGATGCCTGGGTGAGGAAACAGCTCAGATGGCGACTCCACGGGACTGCAAAGGGGAGTGGGTGAGTGAAAACCTAGATTTAAGGATTGAACTCTGATCTGCCTTTTCTTTCTTTTTTTTTTTGAGACGGAGTTTCGCTCTTGTTACCCAGGCTGGAGTGCAATGGCGCAATCTCGGCTCACTGCAGCCTCCGCCTCCTGGGTTCAGGCGATTCTCCTGCCTCAGCCTCCTGAGTAGCTGGGATTACAGGCACACGCCACCATGCCCAGCTAATTTTTTGTATTTTTAGTAGAGACGGGGTTTCACCGTGTTGGCCAGGATGGTCTTCATCTCTTGACCTCGTGATCCGCCTGCCTTGGCCTCCCAAAATACTGGGATTACATACGTGAGCCACCGCACCCAGCCTATTATTATTATTATTATTTTTTTTTTTTTTTTTTTTTTTTTTTTTTTTTTTGAGACGGAGTTTCACTCTTGTTACCCAGGCTGGAGTGCAATGGCGCGATCTCGGCTCACCGCAACCTCTGCCTCCTGGGTTCAGGCAATTCTCCTGCCTCAGCCTCCTGAGTAGCTGGGATTACAGGCACGCGCTACCATGCCCAGCTAATTTTTTGTATTTTTGGTAGAGACGGGGTTTCACCATGTTGACCAGGATGGTCTCGATCTCTTGACCTCGTGATCCACCCGCCTCGGCCTCCCAAAGTGCTGGGATTACAGGCTTGAGCCACCGCGCCCGGCCGATTATTATTTTTTTTTTGAGACGGAGTTTCGCTCTTGTTACCCAGGCTGGAGTGCAATGGCGCGATCTCGGCTCACCGCAACCTCCACCTCCTGGGTTCAAGCAATTCTCCTGCCTCAGCCTCCTGAGTAACTGGGATTACAGGCACGCGCCACCATGCCCAGCTAATTTTTTGTATTTTTAGTAGACACGGGGTTTCACCATGATGACCAGGATGGTCTCAATCTCTCGACCTCGTGATCCACCCGCCTCAGCCTCCCAAAGTGCTGGGATTACAGGCTTGAGCCACCGCACCCGGCCTATTATTTTTTTTTAAAGACAGTCTTGCTCTGTCGCCCAGACTGGAGTGCAGTGACGTGATCTTGGCTCACTGCAACCTCCACCTCTCGGATTTAAGCGATTCTCATGCCTCAGTCTCCTGAGTAGCTGGGACTACAGGTGTGTGCCACCATGCCAGGCTAATTTTTATATTTTTAGTAGAGACCCTATTGGTCAGGCTGGTATTGAACTCCTGGCCTCAAGTGATCCACCCATCTGGGCCTCCCAAAGTACTGGGACTACATGCATGAGCCACCATGCCCAGGCTGTATTTCACCTTTAAATGTAACCAGCATGCCTGTGGTCCCAGCTACTCAGGAGGCTGAAGCGGAAGCATCGCTTGAGCCCAGGAATTTGAGGCTGCGGTGAGCTAAGAATGCGCCACTGCACTCCAGCCCTGGCAACAGAGCAAGACCTCTCTAAAACAATGTTTTTTTAATTAAAAAATAAAAATAAAACTAGGTGCTGCCACAGCAGGTGGATTGTTCAAGCCCAGGAGTTCAAGACCAGCCTCAACATGTTGAAACGCCATCTTGGCCAGGCGCAGTGGCTCACCCTGTAATTTCAGCATTTTGGGAGGCCGAGGCAGGCAGATAGATCACAAGGTCAGAGATCGAGACCACCCTGGCCAACATGGTGAAACTCCGTCTCTACTAAAACTACAAAACTTAGCTGGGCACGGTGGCAGGCACCTGTATTCCCAGCTGCTCGGGAGGCTGAAGCAGGAGAATCACTTGAACCTGGGAGGCAGAGGTTGCACTGACCTGAGATTGCACCACTGCACTCCAGCCTGGAGACAGAGTGAGACTCCGTCTCAAACAAACAAACAAAGAAACCCCATCTCTACAAAGATACAAAAATTAGTTGGGCATGGTGTTGCGCACCTGTAGTCCCAGCTACTGGGGAGGCTGAGGTGGGAAGTTCACCTGTGCCCGGGAGGTTGAGGATGCAATGAGCCAAGATGCTCTACCGCCATCCAGCCTGGGAACGTAGTGATATCCTCTTTCAAATAAATAAATTATATAAATAGCAAAGAAACAACGGAATGAGGAGACGACCTGTTTTTTTTTTCCAGGGGAGTATCGCTCTTCTCGCCCACGCTGGAGTGCAGTGGCGCAATCTCAGCTCACTGCAACCTTCAATTCCCAGGTTCAAGTGATTCTCCTGCCTCAGCTTCCCGAGTAGCTGGGATTATAGGCATGTGCCACCATGCTTGGCTAATTTTTTTTTTTTTTAAGAGAGGAGGTCAGCCAGGCGCAGTGGCGCACCTGTAATCCCAGCACTTTGGGAGGCTGCGGTGGATCACCTGAGGTCGGGAGTTCGAGATCAGCCTGACCAAGATGGAGAAACCCTGTCTCTACTAAAAATACAAAATTAAGGCCGGGCGTGGTGGCTCAAGCCTGTAATCCCAGCACTTTGGGAGGCCGAGGCGGGTGGATCACGAGGTCGAGAGATCGAGACCATCCTGGTCAACCTGGTGAAACCCCGTCTCTACTAAAAATACAAAAAAAAAAAAAAATTAGCTGGGCATGGTGGCGCGTCTGTAGTCCCAGCTACTCAGGAGGCTGAGGCAGGAGAATTACTTGAACCCAGGAGGCGGAGGTTGCGGTGAGCCGAGATTGTGCCATTGCACTCCAGCCTGGGTAACAAGAGCGACACTCTGTCTCAAAAAAAAAAAAAAAAGAGAGGAGTTCAGCCAGGCGCAGTGGCGCACCTGTAATCCCAGCACTTTGGGAGGCTGCGGTGGATCACCTGAGATCAGGAGTTCGAGATCAGCCTGACCAAGATGGAGAAACCCTGTCTCTACTAAAAATACAAAATTAGGGGCCGGGCGCGGTGGCTCAAGCCTGTAATCCCAGCACTTTGGGAGGCCAAGGTAGGTGGATCACGAGGTCAACAGATCGAGACCATCCCGGTCAACATAGTGAAACCCCATCTCTACTAAAAATACAAAAAAAAAAAAATTAGCTGGGCATGGTGGCGCGTGCCTGTAATCCCAGCTACTCAGGAGGCTGAGGCAGGAGAATTGCCCGAACCCAGGAGGCGGAGGTTGCGGTGAGCCGAGATCGCGCCATTGCACTCCAGCCTGGGTAACAAGAGCGAAACTCCGTCTAAAAAAAAAAAAAAAAAAAAAAAATACAAAATTAACCAGGCGTGCTGGCGCATGCTTGTAATCCCAGCTATTCAGGAGGCTGAGGCAGGAGAATGGCTGGAATCTGGGAGGCAGAGATTACAGTGAGCCGAGATTGCGCCATTGCACTCCAGCCTGGGCAACAAGAGCAAAACTCTGCCTCAAAAAAAAAAAAAAAAAAAAAAAAAGAGGGGGGTGTCTGGCTATGTTGCCCAGGCTGGAGTGCAATGGTTATTCACAGGCGCCATCCCACTACTGATCAGCACTGGAATTTTGACCTGCTCCATTTCCAACCTGGGCCGGTTCACCCCTCCTTAGGCAACCTGGTGGTCCCCCGCTCCCAGGAGGTTACCATATTGATGCCGAACTTAGTGCGGGCACCTGATCGGCACAGCGCACTACAGCCCAGAACTCATGGGCTCAGGCGATCCTCCCACCTCAGCCTCCTGAGTAGCTGGGACTACAGGCGCACACCAGCGTGCCTGGCAACTTTTTTTTTTTAAAAGAATTTCACTGTATCACCCAGGCTGGAGTGCAACAGCATGGTCTCAGCTCAGGGCAACCTGGGCCTACCAGGTTCAAGCAATTCTCCCACCTCAGCCTCCCAAGTATCTGGACTACAGGCATTTAAGTCACCGCACACGCCTAGTTTTTTGTATTTTTAGTAGCGACAGGGTTTCACCATGTTGGCCAGGCTGGTCTTGAACTCCTGACCTTGTGATCGACCACCTCGGCCTCCCAAAGTGCTGGCATTACAGACGTGAGCCATCATGCTGTGTCTTTTCTCAGCTCACTGCAACCTCCACCTCCTAGGTCCAAGCGATTCTCTTACCTCAGCCTCCTGAGTAGCTGGGACTGCAGCCGTGTGCCATCACGCCCATCAAATTTTTGTATTTTTAGTAGAGATAAGAGTTTCACCATGTTGGTCAGGCTGCTCTTGAACTCCTGACCTCCAGAGATCCACCCACCTTGGCCTCCCAAAGTGCTGGCTGGGCATGAGTCACTGCACCCGGCCAGAGACCATCTTCTGAATAGGAGAAAGTCCTTAAAAATTAGTTATCTGGGCCGGTCGTGGTGGCTCACGCCTGTAATCCAAGCACTTTGGAGGCCAAGGCGGGCGGATCACCTGAGGTCGGGAGTTCAAGACCAGCCTGACCAACATGGTGAGATGCCGTCTTTTAAATAAATAAATAAAATAAAAGAGGGTGCGTGCAAACTTCATAAAGTAGTTTGCTTCCAGACTTAGAAGAGCGGAGGCGGGACGAGGTGGCTCATGCCTATAATCGCAATACTTTTGGAGGCCGAGTTGGGCTGATCACCTGAGGTCAGTAGTTCAAGACCAGCCTGGCCAACATGGTGAAACCCCATCTCTACTAAAAACACAAAAGTTAGCCGGGCATGGTGGCACATACCTGTAATCACAGCTGTTAGGGATGCTGAGGCACGAGAAATCGCTGGAACCTGAGAGGTGGAGGTTGCAGTGAGCCGAGATCACACCACTGCACTCCAGCCTGGGTGACAGCGTGAGACTCTGACTCCGAAAAAAAGAAGAGAGTAGACCACATGCATCCCTGGTCCCGAGTAAATGCCCTTGGGCCCGTTTTCAAAAGCCTGCTGGAGAGAAAGCCTGTTAGGCCTTCACTAGAGTCTCAGGCCATCTCAGGGGAGAGGCAGAGCAGGTGAACCGAGCCCAGGCTCCAGACCTCCCAGCTACCTCCCAGAACCTCACCAGCCCAGAGCCCCCAGGGGACCCCAGTTACCTCGGAACAGCTCCAGAGACTGAAGGCTGTTTGCTTAGTGCCCCAGCATCCATGCAGAGCGCCGGAAAAGCTCACCAACTGTTTCACTTCCTGTCGGGGTAGGTTTTACTTCTCTCTAGTGTACACAGAGGATCCGAGGAGGGGCGGGGGAGCGCCAAGTGTGCGGCTTAGGTGCCTGCTTGCTGCGTGCATTTGAGTTTGATGTGGGGTCCCTGTGCGCATGTTCATGTGCGTGTGTGTGTGTGTTGGTGTGTGTTTATGTGCATGTGTGTTGTTTGTGGTTTTTTGTGTTTGTTGTTCTTGAGATGGAGTTTTGCTCTTGTTGCCCAGGCTGGAGTGCAATGGCGCAATCTCAGCTCACTCTAACGTCCGCCTCCCGGGTTGAAGCGATTCTCCTGCCTCAGCTTCCCAAGTAGCTGGTACGACAGGCATGCGCTACCATGTCCAGCTAATTGTGTGTGTGTATGTGTGTATTTTTGGTAGACACGGTTTCACCATGTTGGCCAGGCTGGTCTCGAACTCCTGAACTCATGATCCGGCTGCCTCAGCCTCCCAAAGTGCTGGGATTGCTGGCATGAGCCACTGCTCCTGCCTGCATGTGGGTTTATGTGTGTTGGAGGGATGGTGTGTGTGTGTTTGTGTGTGTTGTATCCTTGAAAGGTTCACAACATATTAGTTTTGGAAGTACGCACTGCAGAGAGGCACTCCAAAATCCGTTCATGAACTCTGGGAAGTGTCTTCACTCAAAATTTGATTGTGGACTATGGGGCAACCCATTAGACAGAGGGTAAAAAGTAGCTATAATGAAATGTATGGCTATTTTTTGTTTATTTATTTATTTATTTATTTATTTAAAGATGGGGTTTCTCCATGATGGCCAGGCTGGTCTTGAACGCCTGACCTCAAATGATCCACCCACCTCAGCCTCCCAAAGTGCTAGGATTACAGGTGTGAGCCACTGTGCCCGGCCTTGTTTTCGTTTTGTTTTTGTTTTTGTTTTTGTTTTTTTTGAGACCGACTTTCACTCTTGTTACCCAGGCTGCAGTGCAATGGCGCGATCTCGGCTCACCGCAACCTCCGCCTCCTGGGTTCAGGCAATTCTCCTGCCTCAGCCTCCTGAGTAGCTCGGATTACAGGCATGTGCCACTATGCCCAGCTAATTTTTTTTGTATTTTTAGTAGAGACGGGGTTTCACCATGTTGACCAGGACGGTCTTGATCTCTTGACCTGGTGATCCACCCGCCTCGGCCTCCCAAAGTGCTGGGATTACAGGCTTGAGCCACCGCGTCCGGCTTATTTTTTTAAAGATGGGGTTTCACCATGATGGCCAGGCTGGTCTTGAACGCCTGACCTCAAATGATCCACCCACCTCAGCCTCCCAAAGTGCAGGATTACAGGCATGAGCCACTGTGCCCGGCTGAAATGTATGTTTTAGGGGGAAATCGGGGACGTGGGGACAGGACAGTAGAGGGGGCAGGGAGGCGGGAGAGACGAGCTGGGGTGTGAGAAGGACCAGCAACGACGACGGCTCCAAGGCACAGGTCGGGCAGACGAGGCCCCTGCGCCCAGGACGGTCGGAGTGAGACCTCATTTGGCGCCTGGCCTTAGCACCGTGGCAGCGGGTCCTCGACAAGTGTTTCAACGCTCTGTCCTTCCGTTCCCTGATCTGAAAACGAGGATAATAAAAGCACCCACCACAGAGGGCCCGTTGTGAGAATGAAAGGAGGAAGGCGTGCAGAGTACCCGCCACATAGGGAACTCTTCATAAATACCAGCCGGGACTGTTCTCTATGGGGTTGCCTCAGCCAGGCCAGTTAGAAATGTAGACATGAGCCGGGCGCGGTGGCTCACGCCTGTAATCCCAGCACTTTGGGAGGCCAAGGCGGGTGGATCACGAGGTCAAGAGATTGAGACCATCCTGGTCAACATGGTGAAACCCCGTCTCTACTAAAAATACAAAAATTAGCTGGGCATGGTGGCGCGTGCCTGTAATCCCAGCTACTCAGGAGGCTGAGGCAGGAGAATTGCCTGAACCCAGGAGGCGGAGGTTGCGGTGAGCCAAGATCGCGCCATTGCACTCCAGCCTGGGTAACAAGAGAGAAACTCAGTTTCAAAAAAAAAACAAAAAAAAAAAGAAATGTAGACATGAGAGGCTGCACCAGGGACCGCCACGACACAGCCATCGTCTAAAGACTCACTTGCACTCGCTCCTCCCCAGTCCCATGCAAATCTATCCCCAGACCCCAAATGTACCCCCCAAGCCCACGGCGCGTTCATTTCTGCAGCTCCCCTACATCTGGAGCCTTCATGCTCCTTTTGGTCATCTTCACTAAAAAATGACAAGGTCAGAGGGGCGCAGTGGCTCACGCCTGTAATCCCAGCACTTTGGGAGACCGAGGCAGGCAGATCACTAAGTCAGGAGTTCGAGACCAGCCTGGCCAACATGGTGAAACCCCATCTCTACTAAAAATACAAAAAACAAACAAACAAAAATTAGCCAGGCATGGTGGTGCATGCGCCTGTAGTCCCAGCTACCCACTTGGGAGGCTGAGGCAGGAGAATCGCTTGATCCCGGGAGGCGGAGGTTCAGGGAGGCAGAGGTTGCAGGGAGCCAGGATCACACCACTGCACCCCAGCCTGGGTGACAAGAGCGAGACTGCGCCTCAAAAAAAAAAAAAAAAAAGTAACAGGTCATTCATTTAACAAACAAGAAGAAATCTCAAAGTGAAAACAGAGGAGTTAGGAATTCCCTCAACAAGAGTTCAAGACTAGGCCAGGCGCGGTGGCACACGCCTGTAATCCCAGCACTTTGGGAGGCTGAGGCAGGTGGATCATGAGGTCAGGAGTTTGAGACCAGCCTGGCCAAGATGGTGAAACTCCATCTCTACTAAAATACAAAAATTAGGCATGGTGGTGTGTGCCCGAAGTCCCAGCTACTCGGGAGAATGAGGCAGGAAAATTGGTTAAACCTGGGAGGCGGAAGTTGCAGTGAGTGGAGATCTCACCGCTGCACTCCAACCTGGGAGACAGAGTGAGACTCTGTCTTAAAAAAAAAAAAAAAAAGTCAGGCCGGGTATGGTGGCTCAAGCCTGTAATCCCAGCACTTTGAGAGGCCAAGGTGGGCGGATCACGAGGTCAAGAGATCGAGACCATCCTGGTCAACATGGTGAAACCCCGTCTCTACTAAAAATACAAAAAATTAGCTGGGCATGGTGGCATGTGCCTGTAATCCCAGCTACTCAGGAGGCTGAGGCAGGAGAATTGCCTGAACCCAGGAGGCAGAGGTTGCAGTGAGCCAAGATTGCGCCATTGCACTCCAGCCTGGGTAACAAGAGCGAAACTCCGTCTCAAAAAAAAAAAAAAAAAAAAAAAGACTAATTTTTTGAAAGTCAGAGGAAGCAGAATGCACCGCAAGTAATAAAGAGGAACAAGCCTGATTCCAGCTTCTAGAAGGGCACAGAGGGCAAACCACCGATTCTGAAAGTCATCATTTGAAGAGTTTTTTTAAATCCCAGATCAAAGATAAAGACCAAGCTTTGCTTTCCAAATTGCTTTGGCTAAAAGTAGGTGCTAATTTTCTTTTTTTTTTTTTTTTTTGAGACGGAGTTTCGCTCTTGTTACCCAGGCTGGAGTGCAATGGCGCGATCTCGGCTCACCGCAACCTCCGCCTCCTGGGCTCAGGCAATTCTCCTGCCTCAGCCTCCTGAGTAGCTGGGATTACAGGCACACGCCACCATGCCCAGCTAATTTTTTGTATCTTTAGTAGAGACGGGGTTTCACCATGTTGACCAGGATGGTCTTGATCTCTCGACCTCGTGATCCACCCGCCTCGGCCTCCCAAAGTGCTGGGATTACAGGCTTGAGCCACCGCGCCCGGCCGGCAAAAGTAGGTGCTAATTTTCACATCTCCGAAGGGGGCTCCAGGACTGCAAGTCACACCTTGGCAAGGGTGTGGCAGCTGGCTGAGGGCCACAGGTCCTGTCCAGACAGGGCCTTCCGGGGTCTGGGGAGTGCAGAGGCAGCTCACTCAGAACCACTTCTTGGCCCTCTGTGGCTAAAACCAGCTCAAAGCCCGACTTTTTATGGCTGGAGCCGCCTCCAAAGGGGTGTCAGCCTCCACTCCGGTGAGGCTCTGAGCACTGCCTAGCGGAGAAGGTGGACGGGCAGGGAGCACACATGCACCCTTGAGGCCATTCGGGAAGAATGTTTTGCCAAGTGCAGAGACCATAAAAATGTGGAACAGGGCTCTGTTTTTTTTTTTTTTTTTTTTTTTTTTTTTTTGAGACGGAGTTTCGCTCTTGTTACCCAGGCTGGAGTGCAATGGCGCGGTCTCGGCTCACCGCAACCTCCGCCTCCTGGGTTTAGGCAATTCTCCTGCCTCAGCCTCCTGAGTAGCTGGGATTACAGGCACGTGCCACCATGCCCAGCTAATTTTTTGTATTTTTAGTAAAGACGGAGTTTCACCATGTTGACCAGGATGGTCTCGATCTCTTGACCTCGTGATCCACCCGCCTCGGCCTCCCAAAGTGCTGGGATTACAGGCTTGAGCCACTGCGCCTGGCTTTTTTTTTTTTTTTTTTTGAGATGGAGTCTTGCTCTGTCGCCAGGCTGAAGTGCAGTGGTGTGATCTTGGCTCACTGCAACCTCCACCTCCTGGGTTCAAGCGATTCTTCTGCCTCAGCCTCCCGAGTAGCTGAGACTAGAGGCGCATGCCACCACACCCGACTAATTTCTGTATTTTTAGTAGAGATGGGATTTCACCATGTTGACCAGGATGGTCTGAATATCTTGACCTCTTTATCCACCCACCTCGGCCTCCCAAAGTGCTGGGATTACAGGCATGAGCCACAGCACCCGGCCTCACCAGGAAAACTTACAAGCCACAGGTGTCTAGGCCCCACCTCACACCCATTAAGTCAGATTCCTTGGACTTCGGCTCCGGTGTATTTGGGGGTGCAGGGGAGTGGTCTAGTATTTTTTAAAAGCTTCCCTAGTGATTCTTCCGTACACGGCACTAAAAGCCACCACATTTCAAGACACGGGTTCACACGAAAAAGTTAAATAGCTACATTTGGCATCATCTACACACATGAAGACTCAGATTCCCTGAGAGTCACACAGGAGCACTGGTGTCTCCCTCCTCAAGGCCACCCC